TACAAATCTAAAAGGTAAAGGTAAAGGGACCACTGACCGTTAAGTCGAGTCGCGGACGACTCTGGGTTTGTGGCGCTCATCTCGAGGGAGCCGGCATTTGTCTGCAGACAGCTTCCAGGTCATGTGGCCAGCACGACTAAGCCGCTTCTGGTGAACCAAAGCAGCGCACAGAAACACTGTTTACCTTCCAGCCAGGGCCTATTTATCTACTTGCACTTGACGTGCTTTCGAACTGCTAGGTGGGCAGGAGCTGGGACCGAGCAACAGGAGCTCACCCCGTCGCAGGGATTCGAACTGCCAACCTTCTGATCGGCAAGCCCTAGGCTCATTGGTTTAGACCACAGCGCCACCTGTGTCCCCAATACAAACCTAAAACAATGCAAAATAGACACCAATGCCAAGGAAACATTTATCCAGCTGGAAAAGGCTGCTTGAACAACAACGCCTTTGATTTTCACCCCCTGGAAACAGTAGATCTAGTGGGTGCTTCTCATATCTTGACAGGAATGCTGTTCCACAGAACAAGGGCAGCCGCACTAAAAGTCCTGCTTTGGGTTATTGTGGAGTGAGCTTCTGAGATCAGTCAGCCGCAGCTGTTGATTTCAGTGCATCTATTCTCAGTAGGTTATATCTGGACACAACCTTATATTTCTTTTAAAAAAGAGAAATGGAGCAGGGAATAGGAACGATGTCACATAAAAAACACAATACCCCTACTGAATCAGAACAAAAGGCCCATCCTGCATTGCAAAGTAGTTGGCACAATGATTCCCAGAAGCCAATCAAGACTGCACATATACCTTCCCTTCCATTTGCTTCCAATATTATGTAAATATTCAGAGGTGGATTGCTTCTGAATGCGGCAAATCCCATTGACATATCACGGTTGTAAGACATGGCTAGACTTATCCATGCCAGCCCAATGGATGCACGGGCATTGCTGCATCCTTTAGGAGACACACACACTGAATGAGGAGACATGTCTCCCAGTCCTGTGGTACTGACAAAGAAGGGCCCTTTAATCCCATTCTGGATGCATAAGAAGTGTCCTGCTGGATCAGCCCGAAGGTCTATTTTTGTCCAGCATCCTGTTTTCCACAACAGCCAATCAGATGCTTCTGGGAAGCCCACAAGTGGGGCAGGAAGGAAACAGCCTTTCCATCTGGTTGTTCCTCTTCAACATCTGGTATTCAGAAGAGCACTGTGAATACAGAGCTTCCTTTTAACCAGTGTGGCTAAGAGCCATTGATAGACCTCTCTTCTTCCTGGTAAAGTCCTATTAAAGCCACCTGAGTCAACACCTCTGATTTGATTTGATATCTAATATGCATGCACTATGTAGATGCACCTACATTGAGACAATGTTAATATAATGTATAAGAGTAATCCCTGGGCATCACTTGTCAACATTGGGAATGGTCTGCTCATAAATGGTACCAACTTTATGATGGGCACTAACCACACATGATGGTGATGATAGGATCTCTTCTGGAATTGGGCTCCATGCTATAATATGACAACTGGATCGGGTCTGAGGGCAAACTGGTTTTAGGAAGATGCCCTGAGCTCCTGCTGCAGCCTTGCTGGGCCACCCCACAAATGAAAGGGAGCTCCTCTCCCCACTGTATTCAGCAGCTGAAGCTGCTAGATCTTTATAAAATCTTCAGATAAGTCATGGCTGCCGAATGTATGAACATTGCCTATCCCTGATCTTCCAGACTTCAAATTTGACTGTATTAAATTGACTTTTCATTAGTGTTAGGTGCATACCCTCCAACATTTCTCTGATGAAAATAGGGGCACCCTATTCCATAATAGGGACGGGGTGAGCTCCCGTTGCTTGGTCCCAGCTCCTGCCAACCTAGCATTTTGAAAGCACGTCAAAAGTACAAGTAGATAAATAGGTACCACTCCGGTGGGAAGGTAAACGGTGTTTCCGTGCGCTGCTCTGGTTCGCCAGAAGCGGCTTAGTCATGCTGGCCACATGACCTGGAAGCTGTACGCCGGATCCCTTGGCCAATAAAGTGAGATGAGCACCGCAACCCTAAAGTCGGCCATGACTGGACCTAATGGTCAGGGGTCCTTTACCTTTACCTTTATTCCATAATACTTATTAATATTATTGTTTATATAACACCCATCTGACTGAGTGGCAGCTTCCAACACATATGAAAGCATAATAAAACATTAAACATTAAAAAAGCTTCCCTATACAGGGCTTCCTTCAGATGGCTCAGCGGTCAAATAACCCCATACCCTCCAACATTTCTCTGGTGAAAATAGGGACATCCTAGGGGAAAGTGGGGCATTCCAGGATTAAATAAGAATCTGGGATGGCTTTTGTAAATCCTGGGCTGTCCCTGGAAAATAGGGACACCTGGAGGCTCTGTTAAGAGCTTTGAGCTTCAGTCGGTTTAGTCCATCTTGAAGGTGTAGTTTAAAGGTAGGTAGTGTGGTCTGATCACTTTAACATAAATCTAGTGGAGGGGATTTCATTCCAGAAAATGGCATTCCCATTATAACCATTATTTTCTTTAAAAGGAAAAAGAAAAAGAAACATAGAATTACAGAATAAGAGAATTATAGAGTTGGAAGGGACCCCTAAGAGTTGGAAGGGCCCCCATTTAGTCTAATGCCTTAGAATACAGGAATCACAGCTAAAGAATCCCTGACAGGTGACCATCCAACATCTGTTTAAATATCTCCAGTGAAGAAGAGCCCACCACCTTCCATAGTAATCTGGTCCACTGTCATCATCAGAAGGTTTCTTCGGTGCCTACAAAAAACCCACAACCATCATGAATTAGACTTGGCTTGTGGCATACCACTATGTTGGTAAGGGCCATTGGGGGTTTGGCCCAGGCATGTGGGTCCAAATTGGACCCTTTCCTCAATCGCAAGTCACTCCTGCTCAATGGCGCATCCCTTGTCGAAAGTAGTGTGAACACACCAACATGAAGCACACCAAGATACAATGAGGAAAATGATTCGTGCTTTTAATTGTGACACATGTGAACTAGAAGGAAGGCATGGCTGACCAACTGGGATTTGTCAAGCTCTTCCACAGTAGGTTTCGTAGGATGCTGGGTTCACCCAGTTCAGCATGACCAATGCCTACCCAAAATTTAGCAATGGCCATCTAAGGGTAGCATTATGTCTATCCCCCAGCTTGTTAAAATATGAAAGAGAGCAGGAGGGTGTTGACGGGCATTGCATGCTGAGTTGACACTGAGATGCCTTTGATAAACTAATAGCCTCGAAGGAGGGAGGAAAAGACAATTAAAGCAATTAGGATGTTGCATCTGTGTGAGTGAGCGTGGCCTACCTGGGCTGATAATTAATTAGGATTTGAAAATCCTGTGCACGAGGGATGTCTCATAATCAAAAGATTGCCCCAGACAGGGTATAAAAGGGCAAGGCATCCAACACTTCTCCAGCATCCTCACTTGATCTCCATCGTTCAGAAGTCCAAGTAAGTCCTTGCAGTGATCCAGTCTTTTAGTGATGCTTCAGAGCTTTATTTGATTCCTATTGTTTTCCTAATGTGGCAGTGGTGGTTGGATCTCAGAAGAACATTACTTGACTTTGTCTTTCTTTCAAATGATTCCTCTCCTAGTCCTTATTTACTTATTTGAAAATATCTTGGCTGTAGGTTTTAGAACAGATGGTGCTGGACTCCTGTGTTGTGTTGTAGGAAGAGTGTTGGACTAAGACCTGGGAGACCAGGTTTCAAGTCCCCACTTGGCCAGGAAACTCACTAGGTGACCTTAGGCCAGCCACTGTCACTCAGCCTAACATACCTCAATGGATTGTTGTGAGGATAAAATGGGAAGCAGAGAAGCATGTACACCTTAGAGGAAAGCAGGGATAGAAATATAACAAACGAATTATCAGCCTTGGTCAGCATTGCCAGATACCAGGTATGATGAGAGGTGAAGTCCAACTTCCTCCCTCTTGCCTTAGAATAAATTCCTCTGGATTTCCAGCTTGGGGAATATGGCGCTTCTGCTGTTCCTGAAATATATTTTCCATCATCCCTGGCCATTGGTTGTGTTTGGTGTGGCTGGCAGGAGTTGCAGTTCTCCAACAAAACTCAACTCCAGTTTTCAACCATCTTAATACCCGCTTTGTATCCATCTACATTAGAGGAAGTAAATTAATGTAGTTAACGTAGTAATGACTATTAATTTCAGCCGGTATACTCTGAATGTAGTTCAGTTGTCTGTAACCCTCTAATGGCAAAAGGGTTTGGAACCTTCAGGATTGTATCCAATAATTCTGGGAGTTGTAGTTTGTTAAAAGTGCTGGGAATTGTCAAGAGACTCCCTATTCCCCTCACAGAGACACAATTCCCAGAGTTCCCTGTGAAGAGGGCTTGTTAAACTACTCCAAGAACTCTGTGAGGGGAATAAGGGACAGACTTCTGACAGCCTTAACAAACCACACCTCCCAGAATTCTTTGGAGGAAGCCATAATTGTTGCAAGTGATGCCACAGTGCTTTTACATCTATGGTGAGAATGTGGCCTTAGTTTGATCCAGCCCACAGTATTCTTACTCCATTCCAGCACTTGACCCTTTCTGAACTTCGCTCTGCCTAGTCCAAAGTTCCTCCAAGTTGACTCTGCTCTGCACTGTGTTGTTTCAGATCCAACTCCTTCTCCAAGCAACATGAGCACCTTCAAGCACCAATCCCATTGTGACCCAGGTTATTGCAGACCCACCACCTCCTCCAGCAGCTGCTATGGAGGCTCTGGGCATGGCTACAGCTCTGGGCATGGCTACAGCTCTGGAAGTTGTTATGGAGGCTCTGGGCGCAGAATCCGCTATAGCTCCGGAAGCTGCTATGGTGGCTATGGTGGCTACGGGCAAGGAGGTTACGGGCGAGGCTACAGCTATGGCAGTGGTTGCTATCAGCCACTGAGCTATGGCGGTTTTGGTTCCAGAGGCTGGGGCTATGGTGGTCAGGGTTGCGGACGTATTTCCTACCAGCCAATAAGTTATGGCGGCTGGGGTTACGGTGGCCGTGGTTGCTACCCACAAGGCGGATATGGTGGCTTGGGCTATGGTGGGTACGGATATGGCGGCTGCGGTTATGGGGGCCTCTATGGCCGTGGCTCTAGCTGCTATCAGCCATGCTATGGCTACGGATCCAGGCGTGGAAGCTTCTCTTACCCCATCGTCCGAAGGAACAGCATCTGTGGACCCTGCGGACCCTGCGGACCCTGCTAAGCCCTGGAGAGGACCTTCTAGTGGAACGTGAAGAACCAATGCAGGCGCAACAAATGCATCATTAAGCTTTGCCGGGCTCTGCTTTCAGAAATGCTGAGCCCTGAAGAATCCCAGCAGGAATCAGTGGGTACTCAGCACTTCTGCAAACCAATCCTGTACCTGCTTCTGTTAAACTGCTCTCTACTTGCTCCGGACTGTTGTCTCTCTAAAGGCAGATCCAACGATTTATGCTGTGGCCACTTATTGTGATACAGATATTTTTTGTCTCCAACGTGACAGTAGAAACATCCTTTAGGTCTCTGCCTATGTCCTTTCACTCAGATCAAAGCCAGCAGTTTTGCAATGATACAATCCAGTTTATGATCCCAAATTTCAAACGACAACAATAATAACCAACCCAATAAATAAAAGCTTGCTTTGCATCATAATTCCAGTCTTCTCGTGTTGTTTTATTGTCCACACACCTAGCATTTAGTCCTTCCTCCACACCAATGCGGGTAAATACTACAAACAGAAAGTCAAGCTTATATCTGACACTACACAGCATTCTGTCACACTTGACCGTGACCAATAAATAGAACCCAAGATGTGCAGATGAAGGAAGTGGGATGCAAACGAGAGCCCACTCAGGTCTTGCAATGTCATTGAGCTCCATAGCACATAACCAAGGGGATATAACATGCAACACAGCTGGTTGGGATCAAAACTGACCCACATGCCCCAGAAGTAGTAGTGGGTTATTTTGGGGTTCCACTGCTTTCCCCGGGAAACCCCTCAGTTTAGTGCTGAATTGGAAGAAATGCCAATCTTTTTTGCGGATTAACTTTTGTTCTGATTCAGTGCTAAACCACAGGCCTTTTCTAGGGAAAGCAGCAAAACCAAATAACCCCCACTTGGACCAATGCCTAGAAGTGATGGACAAGCGAAAGAAATCTCATACCAAAAAGAAGTGTGAATGAGCCTTAAGGGCAGTAACTCGATGGTAGAGCACCTGCTTTAGATGCAGAAGGTCCCAAATTCAATCCCAAGAATCTGCAGGTATGGCTGTGAATTTCCCGAGTCTGAAACCAGAGAGAGCTGCTGCCAGACAGCAGAGACAATGGACCAATGGTCTCACTTGGTATAAGACAGTTTCAGATGTTCTGCCCCAGGTGGTGTAGGACTGAGGATGTAGCAATGACTCTGCTACTCCACTAGACCTTGCCACGGGCCAGGCAGGCTTTGGATAACCCATAAGACACTAATCATTTAATGAAAATAGGGGCACTATTATTTTAATTGGCAACAAGAGCTTTCATAGCTCAACACTGAGGGGAAACGGAGGTGTCCACAGAAGTTGAGTGGGAAATTAAATGCTGGACTTTAATTAACTTTGTTAAATTAGCTCATTGGATTAAGATTAGGGAGGGAGGGAGGGAGTAAATACTGCAGTAGAGTGAGTTAATCCCTTCCAACTCTACAATTCTATGGTTATATGATTCATCTAGGTGGAATGAAGTACACTGAGCTATTAACTACAGAGTTATGGGTTCAGACAACACCTCAAACCATGGTTAAGAAGAAACAGAAGCAAAGGGTTTCAATCTCTACCTTGCCACCATGCCAAAAAGGGACATTTAGAAGACACCACATTGTCTATTCCTGAGCTGAACCTTAATTGGTGATTTTAATGCTTGGACATGGTCACTTTGGAGGAGGAAATCCACCATGGGAAAACTGGCTTGCGAAGAGAGTCCCTATGTTCCTCTATAGCAGGTCAGAGACAAGGGGGCAGTGGTTTTTCAGAACATAAGAAGCCAGACCATAACACCCTGGACCATTAGTCCATTGAGCTCATTATTTCCCAAACTGAGTGGCAACAACTTTACAAGGGCTTCAAACAGGAGTTCTTTCCCAGAGCTACCTGGAGATGCCGAGGATTGAACCTGGAGCCTTATTCATGCAAAACAGATGTTTTATTACTGTGTTATGGCATTAAAATGTATGTCAAGTAACCAGGAACATAACACAGGAAGCTGCCTTACACTGAGTCAGACCACTGGGGTCCATCTAGCTGGGGTCTACATCAACTGGCAGCAGTTCTCCAGGGTTAGAAGTATTTCCCAGCCCTACCTAGAGATATTGAGGGTTGAACCTGGTACCTTCTGCATGCTAAGCAGTTGCTCTACCATTGAGCCACTTCACTTCCTCCATAAAATAGAGACTACCCCTATTAGATAGGGTCAATCAGTGTGTTTGCACATAGCAGCAAATGAACCTAAGTACTTTCAGAGGTCCAGTGGATCTAGTGGATCAGGGTCACAGGCAGCCGAAGATCCCCAGCAGGGGATCAGAACAAAAGGGAACTTTTTAGCCGCTCTTTGTGCTGATTGCAGCCAATCAGAGTGAGAGTTGGCCACTGAGGATGGGTTCCTAAGGTCTCTCAGGAAAAGGTGTGTTGAAAGAACACCAAGGAGGAGTTGTTCTATGTGCTCCAAAGCTGGGCATTTGGGAATGTTAAAACACAAGGTGCTCCAGTTTCAAGGGGACGATGTGCAAGTTCTCTCATATAATGTGGAACTTCAAGAAAAACACAACTTAAGTCACTTGAAAAGAAGATATTGGAAAACTCCAAATCATCTGCCCATATTCATGCACAAAAAAATAGTAGATCGAGATGAAAGGCAATACATGGAGATCTGCATTGATCATTGCAACACACCCCTAATTATTATTATTATTGTGCAACACATCCCTAATTATTATTATTATTTCATAATTACATTGCATAGATTTAGAAAGGAGCATGGCTTTGAGGGGGCATGGCTGCAATTATCACGAAGAGGCACTGAACTTCTAAATTCACCATTGCACTACTGGACGCTTTTGTTATTCTTGAGCAGATAAGGTATGAATGACAAGAGAAGGAGCTCTTTCATGAAAGTAAGGTGGAGTGAAAATGATAAAAGAATTAATGATAAATGTGATAATGCTGACTATATGGAATGCCAGTGAGAGCAGGTGGAGGAGTTTGTGGGTTCCTTTAATTGGCTATAAAGATGGGCTAGGACATAGAAACATGCTTGGGGTGAGGCCAGGTGACACAAAGCGATATGGGAAGGAAGCTACGATCATAAGTGTTGCTGAACTAGACTTTTTCCGCCACTGTATTCCACCCAGCATGCAATTTCTAAAGCGCCTTTGAGAGTTGGAACATACCAGGAATGTTGAGGTGTGACCCAAAAGGTCTGGTAGAACTTCTTCAGGGTCAAAGCAGTTTCCTGCTATAATAAGTGGATTCCCAGGGAGAGTGGTAGACCAAACAAGCAGTTATAATCACCTTGGTTTTAAAATGAAATGAAATGAAAAGAAAAGCTGAAATTGGGGAGGAGCTGGTGATGTGATGGAGTTGCCCTCTGGAGGAATTTTTGTGTTTATCTGTGGCTGTCTAATCCTGTGCCAAAAGAAACATCCATACAGGTTGTTCTAGCTCCACTGCCAGGGGCAGTAATATGCCTCTGAATTACCACCTGATGGAAATCACAACTCAGGAGAGGGCTGCTGGATTTGAGGTTTGCTTGTGGGTCTGCTTGAATAGATGGGTCTTTGGTCTGACCCAGCAGTACTCCTCTTATGTTAATATCCATGATAGTTAAGAACATAACTTCTGTGTCATAAGGCAGTCTACCTGTGAATGCTAGATGCTGGAGACAAATGGGGGGGGACTGGTTTCTTAGGGCCCTTCCTGGGGGCTTCCCATAGACATCTGGCTGGCCACCATGAGAAACAGGATGCAAAACAGGATCCCCATTAGGTTACACTATATACACACACACACACACACACACACACACACACATATATATCTCATATATCTCAAAAGGTTGATGATTCAATGTAAGCTTTAATTGAGAAAAGCAAGTTGCAATGAAAGAAACATGCGGTCTTACTTTATCAGTTCAAACACATCCACATGTGCACACATTAGGTCTTAGGTCTTATTTATTTTTTAAAAATGAAATATGAGGTGTACAGAGGATCTTCTCTCATCAACAACCCACCCACCCCATAACCAATGTGGGGGGGGGCAGTTTTGAAAAACAGGGTTTGTCACACTGTTGCACAGCTTTGACTTCCTTGAGCATCAAATGCATATAGGTGAAATGGTTTGGGCATGGCTTAGTTTTCCTCCATAGTTCTGGTTGTGCTGATGCCAATGTGGGAAGTGAGAGCTGGTGTGATGGGAAGAGTCCCATGGTAGTTTAGGAATGGGATGAGATGAAGAGTTATCATGAGTTGGGGCAGGTTTCTTTTATGCTGCTCTATAAAGCACGGCTGGAACTAATGGGCAGAAACTTCAAGGAAGCAGATCTTGAATCAGAGAAGCTCCTTAAACACCAGAGATGATCTGTAGCAGAACAGACTGACACAGGAGGTAGTGGAGGTATTTAAGCAGAGGTTGGATGACCACCTGTGCTTCAGTTGCACACTGCAGTGCATTGAGCAGGGTTATGCAACATCCTTGAAGGTATCTTCCATGAGTCTACAATACAGTAAACAAGACAAAAATAAATGTTGAGATAGTTGGTGCCCTCTAGAGTTTGGTAGACTACAACTTCCACCATCCCATGATAAATAGGACTGGGTAAATTAATGGGGTTTAAGTCTGTCAATGGCTACTAGCCATGATGCCTATTCACGGTTGAGGGCAATAATGCTTCTGAATACCAGTTGCTGGAAGCCACAAGAGGGGAGAGGGTTCTTGTGCTTGAATCCTATGTGCGACTTCCCCAAAGAGTCATCTGGCTGGCCACTTTGAGAACGGTTAGATGTGTTATTGGCCTGATCTAGCAAACTCTTCTTATGTTCTTCATGTTGGTCAAGGATGATGGGAATTCTGGCCACTCCTGGTGTATACTTGATTTCTGAACTGCATAACTTGACAAAGAATGACGAATAAATGTGTGAGTTAATTCCATTAAAATGCTTGGTGTCTGAGTGGATATGGAAGTTCTATCAATCATTGTCTCCTACACACACACACACAAACAC